TTATACAGGGACGGGGGGGACAGAAAATGTTGGTATGTGGATATATGAAAACCAGGGCATGTCGTACTGTGGGGATCCACGGCGAAGGGGGAGTAGTATTTGGTTGCGGGAGAAAGGGGATCGGATTTGCCGCTGGGAGGAAAGTTTTCGATTGCTGACTTTTCCCGGTTTCCTTTCTTTCAAGTGTATCTAATTTCTCCCCCTCTGGACGGCAAACGTTTGCAGAAAAAGCAAAGTAATTTTTGAACAAAGGTTCTAAAGGAGTGATAAGAAGTTGAAAAAGTTCAGGAAGATGCTAGGTAGGATGGGCGATCTGAGAAGGGGGTTGTCTCGGAGCAGAAAGTTTTTAGGGGACCGTATTTTGCAGAAATTCTAGGAAGTGTCCTGTTGAAGACACTTGGATTGAGTCAAGTGTACTATGTGCTTACTTACAGTTCATGCGCTACACCAGTGTAAAAAAGTTTTACGGATACGCTACATGACCGATATCCTTTTCCCTGCATTCAATCATTTCCTTAAATTCCACGCACTCCAAATTATGCCCAAGGCATGTGGATATCACGAGCGTTCTTCTCTTGGCTTGTTATTTTTGCAAAACTATTATAGTTGGAAGTAGCCCTCGCTATGATCTTCTTACTTCTTATTTAGACTACTTTTTTACTTTATAAAGTGTTTCGCACCAGGTGAAATGAACAACGAGAATTCATGAAACGAACCAGGAAGATAATTTGTTGAATTAACAAGTGGAACTAATACTACTGGCTCAAAGTGCTTCTACATTTCATACCGTTTCAGGCGAAAGTACGGAGTCGGCTATCACTTGTGCAGCGGCTGGCACAGCGGCCTGTCATGAGAATGGTGTGTGTAGGTACGTGCTGTTACTTATGTGCATGAAAATCTTTCTGTGGAGATCTTCATATACATTTTATTTTTAACAACCTGAACGTGGAAAATCCGGATTTGGGTTAGAGGACAAATAGTAAAACTCCACCGTTGACGGACGTCTCTTCTGGGATGCGGCGCTAGCTGTACTTCATTCCAAATCGTAGTGGCTTATTGAATGGCCTACAGAATGATTTGCGGGGGCCACCCGATAACTTGGTCTGTGTTTTTATCCTCCTAGACAACCCAGACAACGGTGCTTCTGTTTCACCGACCCCGGAGGAATAGGGGACCAAGCTGAAATAGGAGACCTAGCTGACCTAGCGGGAGCCCATCAGGGATCACTGGTAAGCCGGAGGTT